CATAAAATTCTAATTCTGTCATTTATAAACTGTGTTGGCTTGGGCAAGTGTTTTCACCTATCTAAACTTCAGTTTCTGTGCCTCCTGCTGTGGGTCTAATAGTACCTAGCTTATACATTGTTGTGAGGGTTAAAATGTTGACTGCATATAAAATGCTTTGCACAGCACGTGGCACAAAGTAGTCAAGAAAATTTCCTATTATTAGTTATAAATACTGTATTGACCTGTATAATTTAGTTACGGTTTTTGGTAGATGGACTATAAAGTACGAGATATTACATAATTTATGGTCAAGTTGAATGCTAGGTATTATTTAGGGTCTATGAATGTGAACTCAGTAACATCTTAAAGGAAGTTTTTGTTTTGTTTTTTAAATAAAAGTGCAGCAATTATAGTAAAACAGAAACTAAGAAGGTATTGAATAGTGATTTAGAAATAACAAATTTATAACCTAAATAGGCCTCATAAAAGTCACCGATGACCTCCAAGTTGCTAAATTCTCAGTCTTGTTTTATTTGACTTACTAGTCATACTGACTTTTTGGATCACTCTCTCCCTCTTGTTGCACTCTTTGTCTGGCTTCCAAGGTAGCACTGCAGTCTTGATTTTCCTCCTTCTTTCCTGGTTCCTTCTTAGTCACCTCTTCTCCTCAATCTCCGTATCCCAGGACTCAGTCCTTGGTCCTTTTTTATTTGTCTATACTTTCTCCTTTAGTGGTCTTATGTAATTTTATGGCTTTAAATGCTACTCGTATGCTGGTAAATTATAACTTTATAAAATTTTCAGCTAAGGGATAATTTGTGCTGCATTTAACAATTGAAATTCTAGAAGGTTGTCCCCTTCATTTTGCTTAGACGTTCCAGGTTGATGAAGTATTTTCAATCTCCTTCCCTTTTTGGGGGGATGTGTTTTATTTGGATATTTAAAAACAATTAGATATTTAGAAGCAGTGTATAGTGAAAGTGAAATCCAGTCCAATACTTCATTCCCTCTTGACAACTAAAGTATAAAAGTTTCTCCGTTCAGAAAAGTTAGGAAAGTAGGTCATTATATGTATATTTTTTCACCATAATAATTGTAATGGAAGAAATTAGAATGTTGTCTTGTACTTGTTTGTTCAGAAAGACAGTAGGATAATACACTTTTCTCTCTGCCTTCCTCTGATGTTAACTTTTCTCATATAGACAACCCAAGTTACTTCCAGTGTTGGAGCTGATTCACATTTCTCAGCCAGGATTATTAGAGATGTGGGAGATCTAGTAACTGGGTAAATTCTGGGGGCTTAGCTCAAGATTTGATTGAAAGCTATGTCTGACCTACCTAGTTTTACAGTTTCATATAAAACTTGGGCAGTTAACATTTTTTTTCAGTGTCTTTTTTAGGAGCTGGGATTTTCACTTCAGCTCCTGTTTTCCTAGTAATCAGTCTAGTTTTGGTCTCTTACCACATTTAGGCCCTTTTAATTCTCAGTCATTGGTTTTACTGATTTCTGCCCTGAAATCCAGTAGATCTTTGTGACTTTAGCTCCTACTCATTGCTGGATATTTTTCTTTTGGGTCCTTGAGTATCTTGTAGTGGTGATGTTTTGTTTTATTTCAGTGGGGCTGCAACTTTTCTTTCTTTCTTTTTTTTTTTTTTTGGTGAGGAAGATTGTCAATACAGCACCATTTGTTGGGGACCTACTCGGTGCGAACCACTGTATACAATGATGAACAGAATATTCCCTTAGCTTAACATCTGCTGCCAATCCTCCCCTTTTTGCCCGAGGAAGATTGTCCCTGAGCTAACATCTGTGCCCATCTTCCTCTATTTTGTATATGGGTTGCCTTCACAGCATGGCTTGATGAAGAGTGTGTAGATCTGTGCCCAGGATCTGAATCTTCAAACCCCGCGGGGCACACGAACTTAACCACTACGGCACCGGGTGGGCCCCAAGGGGCTATAACTTTTAAATGTTCTCCTGGAAGTAGGGAAAGGGACAGATAGTGTTAATTTTCTTCGTTGCTTTGAGTTTTGGTTGTAGGTTTTTCTTTAATGTCAGTTTTATTCTTTTTAAAATTTCCTTATCTCAGTTTTAGTATCATTTTCTAAGAAAAGAATCACAGTTGAAATCACAGAGACTAAAGAAAAAATCTTATTGTCTAAAGTTTATATGAAACTGTATAACAAGGAAGGTCATAAACGTAGGCTTTCAGTCAAGTCCTGAGCTCACCCAGCTACTGGATCTCAGTATGTGTTAATTTCATATTCTGAAAATACTGATATCTTAAAAATATTCAGAATTTGTTTCTTAAAAAGTGATACTAAATAGAAACAATGTCAAATGTAAAAATTTATAAACATAAAACCTCAATTATAAGTGTAAATTTATATATATATATTACCCCTACATTTTCTTCTAATACAAATTATTAGCAGATTAAAGTATCATAGTATCATTCAATAATAAATACTAATGAAAAATACAACTTAATGCACAAATGAAATAGTATTTGATCTTTAAAAAATGGTTTTAAAAAAATGGTATTATGGTTGAGTTGAGCAACTGCTCAAATGTTCCAACTGCTGAAAAAGCTCTCTGATTCTACACTAGTGGGGGATATTATGGGGAAATATTTATAAACTATTTCCAGATTTTTTCTTGATTATTTAATCTTTATATAATACCATCTTTTTGTGATAACTTTTGGCAGGCTGTGGGGTAAGCAAGGAACCTATCCTTTTACTGATGTCAAGCTATAGTTTTGTTTTGAAGAAAAATTTCTTTTGTCTTCATTATGTGTAGGTGGAGATTTTAATGCAATTACTTTTATCATTTTTGTATGAAGGGTTCATATTCTGTTTGTTTGGAAAGTCTCTGAACTAGAGGAGAATATTTATTCTTGTAATAGAAGCTTTTGCCTTGTCAACTTAAATTTTTTCTTCCTCCAGAGGTTAGTGGAAGTATAGAAGAAGGCTTTCCAAATGACTGCATCTTTCATTGATTTGAAATTTTAATACAGAGTATAAATCTGGATTTATCTAAAAATATAAGTGATTCAGATTTTACATTTTAAACTTATTAAAATATCAAAATTGTGCCAATAAAGATATGTCGATATTTTGGTACTTAAAAATAGTCTAGTATGCTAAAATGCTGGAATCCTTGAAAAGCAGTTCAGCTGTGCTGCAGAGGGGAATTGTGGGTGTGGGGGGAGGGTTTCAAAGTTTGAATTTAACAATCTCAACTTAACTGGAGGTTGGATATTTATTTATTTTTTTTAGTGTATTTTTTTTCTTTCAGTCCAGGGGAATCAAGATTGTTTTATATGTTTACATTAATGCTATCAGTGGGATATAAATAATTGTGATTAAAAATGTTTATAGTTTACTCTTAACATCTCTGCCCCTTTCATTAAAGAATATTTTCATAAAGTGCTGACATATTGTTTAAAGAATGAAAATTAAAAATATGAAGTGTAACTGAATGGTAAACATAGTATGTGCAGTTCTTCTAGAATTAGTAAATTAGAAACTCACCTTACCTTTCTCAGTTTTGCATGTAATTTTTCCCCCAGCCAAATCCCCAAAGGTCTCTTGATTGCTTTTTTGTTTTCTGCAATCCTCCAGCTTCCTTCTTTATCCTTCCAAGCTCCATTGGTGTTAGTCTAGTTGTTGGGACTAGGACAATGAGTTGAGTATATTGGACCTCTAAGATTTAGTTAGTATTCTGCTATGTCATTTCCTAATAGTATGGCCTTGGGCAAGTCAAAGTCACTTAATCTCTCTAAACCTTTGTTTGTTTACTTTTATGTTTTTTAAAATTTTATTTATTTATTTATTTATTTTCCCCAAAGCCCCAGTAGATAGTTGTATGTCATAGCTGCACATCCTTCTAGTTGCTGTATGTGGGACGCGGCCTCAGCATGGTGGGAGAAGCGGTGCGTCGGTGCGCGCCTGGGATCCGAACCCCGGGCCACCAGCATCGGAGCTCGAGCACTTAACCGCTAAGCCACGGGGCCCGCCCTGTTTGTTTACTTTTAAAATGAGAATATTTCCTCCTGCCCTCCTCACAGTTACTTGGGAATGAGGCAATATATGCCATAGTATTTTAGAAATACTGCCTCCTCCACAAGTATATCCATTGAGTAATTTGAGACTTTGTTTGTTTCTTACTAGTTTTTTTCACTCCACCAAGTTATACGTATATACTATTTTCTATTTTGATTATAAATTTAATGCATGCTTATTGTAGAAAGTCTGGAAAAAACAGGAAACTTAAAGAAAATAGAAATCTGAACAATGCATCATCCTATTTTTATGTTTTTAGGGGAAATTTAGCTTTGAGGCTCAGTACCCTGAGTGTAAGGATAGTCAGTGTTTTATTTATTTTTGGATTTTCTATTCTTTGTATGCACTAGGCACACAATTAATGCTTGTTGAATGAATGGAAACTTTCTCATTCTGGGTCTGTTTCTTTTCTTTGGTGAGGAAGATTGGCCCTGAGCTAATATCTGTGCCAGTTTTCCTCTATTTTGTATGTGGGGCGCCACCACAGCATGGCTTGATGAGTAATGTGTAGGTCCATGTCCTGGATCCCAACCTGCAAACCCTGGGCTGCCAAAGCAGAGCACTCGAACTTAACCACTATGCCACTGGGCCAGCCCCATGGGGTGTATTTCTTAAAGTGAAAAGCTTGGTGAAATTTTACTTGGCATTTAAAGGGAGAAAAGAATACATTTGACTAGCAAAAGTAATAGTGGATGCATATTTTTAAATGACGTTTTTCTGTTGCCTAAAAGAACAAAGGAAAACATGATAGGATCGATCCTAATATTCTCTGGCAGAAGTTGGAAAACCAGTTAAGCTATTGGATGTGGAGCCACTGGGCAATTTCATATTAAAGGGGATTGACATTTATTCAGCAAGAACAACATGTGATAAAATTTGACGATTGTTTCTTTGAATGCTTGGAAATTGTAACAACTTTCTTTTTCCCCTTTTTATTTTTTGTTAAACAGGATGGCTTAAATTCCTTGGTCCTTGATTTGGATTTCCCTGCTTTGAGGAAAAACAAGAATATAGATAATTTCTTAAATAGATGTAAGTATGTATAAACTTCGTATTTGATCATATAGCTATACTTTTGATAACAGATGTATGTTTAATATTATTACAGTCTATAAACTTATTAAAACATAAGTATTTTTTAGTTTGCCATTTGATTTATTTAAATACTAATATTCTTTATTTTCAAAGCAAAACTGCAGAACCACTTGCAGTAGGTAAAGTAGGTAAAGTTCAAGATTTTGTATAAATTATTCAGAGTATTTAGCTATTTTAGGACAGGTTATTTATGACAGTTCCCAGAGAAGTTCTAAATTAATATTAACAGCTTTAAGACTTAGCTTTACAGAAGTCTTTACCAGGAAGACTTAGTGAGCTTTATGTTTGTATCAGTGTAGACATTTCAGTCTAGTTAATGATCAATGTAGACATTGCAGTCTAGTTAATGAAAGATAATGTGATAATTATTGCCATAGATGTGGTAACTTTTAATATTTGCCAGTGTTGATGTTGCAATGGAGGTATAAATGAAGTTGAATTCTAAGAATAAGAAATTCTGAAAATAATTAATATATACTTTATATCAACATAGTAAGCTCTTTAATTTGGACTTGTCAGAGACTAGGCTATTTTCCTAATTAAACAATTTTGTCTGTAGTTAGAATATCTACAAGATGTGATTACTATTTTTTAAAGAAGTAGGCTACCAAAATTCATTACTAAGATTAGCCTTGCAAGTAATTTCATACCAGTTTTCTGCTATGATTCAGAATGCATTCCAGGATTGCTGGAATCATCACTGTTTCAGCTGTCATCTGACTTGCCAAGCAGCAGAGTAGCTTAACTGCTACTTTTTGGAAGTCAGTAGTGTTTGTTTATATGTGTTAATAAACCACAGAGTTTTAGTTCTTTGATGTAAAGTTAATGGTGTATCTTAGATTTTTAAACAGCAGCCTTTAAAAACTGATAGATTTAGCTGAAAACTAAGGCAAGTTTCTTGAAATAAAAATTTGTTTACAAATATGGTGATTATTTTTAAGTATTGTTTATAAATATGATGATGGATATTACAAATATGGTGATCTTTTTATTGTAGATGAGAAAATTGTGAAAAAAATCAGAGGTCTACAGATGAAAGCAGAAGACTATGATGTTGTAAAAGTTATTGGAAGAGGTGCTTTTGGTGAAGTCCAGTTGGTAAGAAAGTGTTTGTTTTGTTCTTTTTATTATTATTATTTTTTGATGACATGGTTTTGTGAAACATTATCAGTAGCCCCTGAGTAGATCTAATTTCGGTGCTCAGCCATGCTAGTATTAGCTTTATGAGCTTGGTCAAGTCATTCCATCTCTGAGAGCCTCAGTGTCTTCATCTATAAAGGAGGCAATTGTGCTATAAACACTAGGTCTCTTCCAGCTCTGAAACTCTGAGATGTAGAATAAGGCCAACTTGGCTTCACACATGATCTGCCTAGCAGTTAGTATTCCACCAGAACTACTGTATTTTTATTTAGTATGTTCAAATTAGTGGCATCTCTGCTTAATTTTTTTTTTTGTGAGGAAGATCAGCCCTGAGCTAACATCCATGCCAATCCTCCTCTTTTTGCTGAGGAAGACTGGCCCTGGGCTAACATGCGTGCCCATCTTCCTCCACTTTATATGGGATGCTGCCACAGCATGGCCTGACAAGTGGTGCGCCAGTGCGAGCCTGGGATCCAAACCCGGGCCGCCAGCAGGGGAGCGCGTGCACTTAACTGCTACGCCATGGGGCCGGCCCAAGCATCTCTGCTTAATTAACTGAGATTTATTTAGATATGTGAGAAACCCAACAATGACGTTTTAAAAACTGAAAGTAAATAACTGAAAGTAAATAACTGCAAATTTATCTTTGCAGGCCAAAGTAGTACCAACTGGAAATATTATAAATGTTTGCAAAAATATTTCATTTATATTATTAAATGAGGAACTATAATAATAATAATCCTGTTTTCATCACCTGAGTGTGAAATTCCTGTTTTTGTCCTTACGGTTCAATTATGGAGTCAAATTTTGTTTTTCAATCAACAGTGTTTTACTCTTCTTGATGGAGCACCAAGAAAAGCAGTGATCACTATGGGCCAGCATAGGTTTCTTTAGGCATAAGTCATGACAGACTAACTTTTGTCTTTTTCTTCTTTCATTCCTCTTTCTTTGAAATGTTTATTGAACTTGTAGATCAGGGTAGTGCAATAGATATAATATATATCTATAAGATATTTGAAAAAGTCTGACATATTTGAAGATGATCTGGAGAAGTATCAACAAATAAGCATGTGGGTAGGCATATTTATAACTAACTTAATAACTATATTCTAAGGAGGCTGATGAAGGCATGAATGGTACCTTTGACAGAGATCCCCAGGGTGAGGTTTTAGGATTCTCTCTTCTTCTATTAAACATTTTATTAGTGACTTGTATGGAGGCAATGGTGGCTTGTTGAATAATTTTGCAAATGAGTTAAAACTGAAGTATGAGGATGAGTTTACGTTATGAGCCAAAATCCAGAAATCATCAATTGGGTAGGTCATTGGCTAGATGGAAGAAGTGAAATTTAACGAGAATAATGACCTGTACTTGGATGTGAAGAACTCAAGGACTAGATTGCTTAATAGTAATTATGAACTAAAGAACAATTTGAAAAAAAAAAGAAGAAAAAGAATTTTCCTTGAATGTAAACCAGGCAAGAATCATTGGTGATGTGGCTGCCCAAAATAGTAAAGAAAGTTTGGACTACTTTAATATAGTTTCTAAGATGATAGAGATACACTTTCTCTATTTTGAGATGATTGGGCCACGCCTGGAATATTATATTCAGTCTAGATACCCTGTTACTCTGTTTTAAAAGGCACATTGATAGAGGGTACTCAAGGGATGGAATGCTCAGAGACTTGAAACGATACCATCTGAGGTATAGTTGAAGGAATTGAGAAGTTAATTTGGAGTAGATTTGAGGAATGGGCTGCCTTGGAAAATAGTGAGGTTTTGTTTTTGTTTTTTGTTTTTTTGTTTTTAGTCAGTGAAAGGGGTGAAACCTTCAGCTAGTAGAATGGTCTAGTGGGGAGGGTGGGAGATTAGATCACAGTATAGTTGAGTTATGAAAGTTCCTATAAGATGGGGAAAATATAAAGTACTTAAATCCTATCTCTCCCATGGTCTAACTCAAAGATCATTGTGACTACAGGCAGGTTTCGAAATGTCTCTGAGTTCCAACCTTTTGAATACAGACAGTAAATAATGCCTATGTCATGGGGGTCATTGTGGGGGATTAAGTGAATTAACAAGATAAATAATCCTGGTTAAAATGCTCCCTAAGTGTTAACCATTATTATTATTGCCTATTTGATATATAGATTCATACTACATGTATTTGAAACAGATACATTGTTTCTTCATACTTAGGATTAGGTGTAATTATGGAAGAGAGATTAGAATTTGAAGTTGTATTTGTGGAAGGAAATATGATAGACCTTGTCATGTTTTTGTGTCAGGGTAGTCATTGTTCTGTGTTAGGTTAATTTGATCATTGAAATTTAATATGTTAAAGAAAACAAAGGAAAATGTATAGAAACAGAAGGCTTTTATTTTTGTTGTTAATTTTCCATCTCAAATTTCATTTTCGCCACAAAACACACAGGAACAAAGTCATATGTTTTTTGTTTTTTTTTTTTGCTGAGGAAGATTTGCCCTGAGCTAACATCTGTGCCAGTCTTCCTCTTTTTTATTTCCTGCTTGAGGAAGATTAGCCCTGAGCTAACATGTGTGCCAGTCTTCCTCTATTTTGTATGTGGGTTGCCACTACAGCATGGCTGATGAGTAGTGTAGGTCCATGCACAGGATCCGAACCTGTGAACCTGGGCCACCAAAGTGGAGCGTGCCGAACTTTAACCACTATGCCACGGGGCCAGCCCCCAAAGTCATGTTTTTAAAAATGAAAAATATTTTAACATTCCATCAATCTGATGGCCTGACCCTAGAGCTTGTAGCATGTTTATTTTGGCTTTGGTTCTTAGTTCTGTTACCTTAGGCAGGGACTCTCTGAAGAAGGATGAGATTGAAAAGGAAAAGTCCAAGTGCTTTTTCCATAGCCTTTTTTTTTTCAAAATAAGGTAATATTTTTCTCCTATACCAATGTCTTCCAAATTTCAGCTCCTCTTTTATTTATTTATTTATTTTTTTGGTGAGTAAGATTGGCCCTGAGCTAACATCTGTGCCTATCTTCCTCTGTTGTATGTGAGACGCCTGCCACAGCATGGCGTAATAAGTGGTGTGTAGATCTGCGCCTGGGATCCACACCCGCGAACCCCCCACCGCCACTGAAGCGGAGTTCGAGACCTTAATCACTATGCCACCCAGCTGGCCCCCATAGCCTTTTAAAGTTGATTGATTTGTGGTAGATAAATTAGTTTGGCACATATGTAGGGAATGTTGTACATTTAGCACATCTTTATGATTATGTTTTTGTAGTCATCTGAAGGAAGTTTTATAATAGTAGATGCCAATTTGTCTTTCCTTGTGAAATGATTTTTCTGGTCAAGTTAAAAATACATTTCCACGGAGGGCCCACCAGTCAATTTCTGCAAGGAAAATTCTCACTGTAAAAATAACTTTGGTATGTGATGGCAGCTATACCATAGTATTTAAGAGCTAGAGTCATATTACTTAAAGTTGAATTTTGACTCTCTCCTTGACTAGCTGTGACTTGAGACAGTTATTTCTTTGTGCCTCAGTTTCTTATCTGTTAAATGAAGATAACAATAGCATTTATACCTCATAGAGTTACTCTAAGAATTAAATGTCACAATATATATAAAGCATTTGGAACAGTTCATGGAATACAGTAAGTTCTCAGTAAATGTAAGCAGTTAATTGTCAGACATAAAATGGTTCATTTATCCATCCATCAGTGAAATATTTAATCAGGATCTATTGTTTTCCAGGAGCTGTGCTAGCCTCTAAAGATACAATAATATAGTCTCTGAAAGTGGTAGTTTTGTGGAGGAGATGAAGAATATTACTGTAAACAAGTAAAGTATTTTCAGATTATGGTAAATACTATGAAGGAAAAGGTCTGGATGCTATGAGACAGTATTATGGAGCGATGTACCTAATTCAGTTTGGGTAGAGTTAGGAAAGGCCTTGCTGTGAGAAAGTGACCTTTGAGTTAAGATGTAAAGGAGTTAACCACATTAAAAAGTGGGATTGGAGTGGGAGTCAAAACACAGAGGGAATAGCATATGAAAATATAATGAGTCAGGAAAGTGCCAAGTCATTTGATTTATTTGTGTGTAGATTTCCTCATCTGAAAAAGACGTTTCTTACAGATTGAAAAGTTCTGTAATTCTAGGAGGGCAAAATTTGTTTAGCTTATTGTCTTTTTTCCTATCTACAGAGGAGATGTACATTTAATTTGTTTTAATATTATGAAAGGTCTGTGACATGGATGATTTTATCTAATATCACTATTGTTTTTTGGATCCTACTGTTTTTGGATCTTTTTTCACATCTCATTTTTATGGAAAATAATATGATTCAATATAGTATATTGATTAAGAGCATGTACTCTGGAGCAAGACTTCTCAGTTTAATATCAGCCTTATGACCTCTGACAACCACCTAACCTCTTTGTGACTCAGTGTACTCATTTGTAAAATAAAAATAATAATAGTTCATTATTCATAGGTTGTTATGAGTGTTAAATGAGCTAATGGAAAACATCTAGAATAGCACCTGACTTAATGAATACATAATAAATTGTAGGCTAGAATTGGAGTCTCCTGGAAAAGCAGTTAAGCTTTTTTTAAAGACTAAAGAACTAATTTCACTAATTGGCTTAAAGAAACAGGTTTTTATAATTAAAGTAATAATGTTCAACTTCTAACAGACATTTTTGCATAAAGTCTGGTACTATAGAGTAGAGTCCAAGTCAACTACTTTTGTTCCCATTCTACAGTATATAGATTTCCTGTCATCAAAGCTTTAATTTCCTTATCTTGGAGTGGCACTAATAATAGAATTTATTTTATAAGATTTTTTGTGAGGACTAAATTAGGTTAATAAGATAACGTAGCATGGACCTGGCACATTGTAGGTATTAAGTAAATATTAGCTTTTGTCAGTATTGTCAGTTTCTATGGATTTAAATGAGTTTTAATTTTAAATAG